TAGCTATGTTTCCATCCAAAGATGTGAATTTAACTTATGCACAAAACTGGAAAATCGCATAAAACATTTGCAGATAAAGCACCGTTTCCATCCAACGAATGAAAGAGAACAAAATTGTCACTTCCTGATAAACTGGCACTAAATATCACTAAGAAAACTAGGAGAAGCCACTGAATATAATAATTTTCATATGTAATAAATTACTTGCGCTTCAAAGAGAGCAGACGTAACACAATAAATGCGGTGCCTGCTGTTTGGGAACGCAGTCATGTAAGACAGTAATTATACAGAAATACTTTGATGACAGACTTTCCTCAGGCATTTCAGAACGACCAATATAGATGCTGTGAACGAGATCGGTCCGCTGGTTAGTCAATTTATCCCGTCTCATAGCGCAAAGTCACCTGACTTTTTCAATGCGCATGGTGGAATTTATTCGGTAAATGTGTTTCCATCGTAGTTTATGCACATTTTTTCTTATCGGATAAAAGGTTTATCCTACTCAGTTGTGCGCATAAGTTTTTTATGCACATTTTTTAAAATATATGCGCATCTTGGCGTTTCCATCCAGCGGTTTTTTAATGCGATAATCCAAAATGCACATAAAAATAGGAGAATGGAAACATAGCTATTGTTACATACTACGTCACATTGCTCTTGTCTGATGTAGACAAAGTATCATTTTCAACATTGACAGACAGCAAACATCTGACGATCTTTATCTACATCTTAAACTTTGTGAAAGCTAGACATGCACCAATATATCGGCCGCCAATATTTATTGGCTGATTTTTGATAGAGGTGGGTAGAATATCCAAAAACTGTACTCGGGTAAAAGTACAAGTACTTCTGGAAATAATTAATAGTTACTTGAGTAAGAGTAAAAAAAAAATAAAAAACTAACAATTGAACATCCAATTGTTAAAAAATAATAATATTGACCTCAGCAGTTTTTTTAAAATAATTATTCTATTCCAAGCAAATTGAAATAAATAAAGCTTTCTCCAGATGAAAAATATAATAAGAAATACTGTGTTAAAATTCCCTTGCTTTGTTGAAAAATTAGTTATTTGAAAAAGAATTGAAATTTCATAGGGGGCTAATAATTTTGTTTTCAACGGTGTATATATATGTCACAAAACTGATGACGTGTTTCAATGATCATCTGCATCATAAATCATCAAAAGTTTTTTTATATATATATATATATATATATATTTTTTTTTTTGAAATGTATGTTTGTACATACATTATATTATATCAAATTTGTATCAAAATATGGAGTTTTTCTTTTGCTATTTGAGCAAATGGGAATGCAAAAAATACATTTGTAGCACTCTCCTATTCACTGCTCTCGAAGTTGACCAACTATGATGACTTCCACTTCTGAAAAACCTGGAAATGAGAAAAAGGTCTATCACGCAATATCAACAAAGCATTGTGCTTTTGTAAAACAAAGAAAAAACTAACAGTGTGCGCTTTCTGCCATTTGGCTCTCCATGAACTACTTTCTGAGACATGTCACAAAAATTAACCAAAACTCAGCGAATGCTTGACACACAGACATGAAAAATGTCTGTAGAAAGCTTGAAATGTCTACTTTTAAATGAAGTTAGTCATGTCGAAATATAAAGAATACAAATATTCTCTGATAAAGTAATCCATATGAAACCAACGAGAGGTACAGTTTTTCCTGTCTAAACTCATTGTCTCTAATGTGATCACGCCCATGAGCCGATCGTGCTTTTGATATGACAGTCATCCACGTGAGACACATGGACATGTAAACGCCCACATCACCTCCGTGAACAAAGATTCAAGTTCATCTTGGCTATTTTTTGTTTTTGGAAGAAGATGCGCTGAGAAGAATAACCCAGAATTTACCTCAGAAGAAGAACACAATGTGACGCGCGGCTTGATCCAGTGGAGGAGATCATTCTGATGAGTAAGATTACTCGCATTAGTTGTTATTGCGTTATTGTGATGTACACATTTTACTCGTTAGATTTTTCCAAAATATAATTCCTGACTACATATATGAAATCAAGTGAAAAATTTTGAAATGTGTGATTTCATTGCATCTAAATGTCTTACAACGCCAGGATGTTTTTTTTTTTATGTTCTATAAAATATAAAGACATGAAAAGTTCACTGTATATCGTAGTAATAAATATAATTTATTACAGCAATGATATTTTGTTTTCTTTTTAATTTATACACATTAAATATTACATATATGTATGTAATAAAATGTGTATTTCCATTACAGGTTTAGGTCTTAAATTTCATATAAGGTGGTATTAAAAAGGTCTTAAAAAGTCTTAAATTTTACTTGTTCATATCTGCAGAAACCCTGTTACAGCACATGGGGCCGGTTGCATAAACTGTTTAGACTAGTCTTAAAAAGTTAGCCATCTAATTTGTTTTCATATAGACTGGTCATTTAAAGTCAGTTACAAAAATGTAGATTGGCCCAATTTTAATCAGAAAAGTGAGACTTGATTATCTCTTGGCCAACTGCTAGTTGGTCAAACTAGTTCTTAAGACACAGTCTTAACATAGTATCTATGTTTATGCAACTGGCCCTATGTTAGAGTCTAAGAATGTTTGGCACAAAGGTGTGTTACTGTTCAAGTCTCAGTGTTTAGATCAGCAAGTTCAATCATGTGTCCTTGACCTGTATATTTTGATTATCCTGTGTTGTAAATAAAATACAAATAATCAAACCCCCCCATTATTTTAATGTCCTTACATTCTTTGTTACCTGCTTCACAGACACATTACTGACTGATGGCTCATTATGGGAGGCCCTTTGTCTCTCAGGTGTGAATATTCATGGCCAAATATTCATGGCCATTGTCACTCCCTCGCATATGGCCTTTCTAACACAAAACATGTCTTACAAAAGTTAAATCAATATATTGTTTTCTGTGAATGAGTGAACTAGATGATTTTCACATCATTCTGTATCAATAACTCTAGTCTACCACATCCAGTTCTCAAAAGTATTGTGAATAAATGTTCTGTATGTGTTTTATGGCCTTATTTCAGTGACTTAAAAAATTTAGTTTTTCACTAACCACGCATAAACATTGTTTTCTCAAAAACACAAACATGTACATTCATGCTGCTCACATACAGTATTACTGTAGCCCAGTTTGTGCTGAATACAGTGTTACCAGACTTTAGCCATTTTAAGCAAATGTCAGGGCATGTCAAAACTTCTCCAGGTCCTCAAAACCCACTCAGACACCAGAGGGTTAATAGTAGTACACAGAAAGCAGTTTTCTCTCTAGTCAACAGTCTAGTCAATGCTTAGTATAGTTCTCGTGTCACCAGTACACTAAACTGGTGAACTAAGGACTTAGTTAACATGACGAAGTTCAGACTTGGACATGTCTGCTAAAAACCAATGAGGTGCTGATAATATGAACAATGGTGAACCAAGGTCTTAAATGAGTAAATTTCTTCATGGTTTCTGTAAAAAGGTGAGTTGATTAGTACAGTGGACAGTGTGCGCTGTGATTGAGATACTGCATGTTGCCAATAATTTATGGCTCATAAAAAGCCTCAGCTTCATTGTCATCAGTGGATCAGTTGCATTTGTTCCATGATGAGAATGTCAGAAATGAGAAGCAGAGCCATCGAAAGTGATCTGATGATACATGAATTGTTTTGTTTGACTTCAACCCACATTTCATTTCACAATTTCATTTTTTTCCATTGAGAGTCCAGTTGTGATTAACTGCAGAGTGTCAAATGTGGGGGTTTTCACTGTTGTGTTTGTTTATTGTTTGTCCTCAGGTGGTAGAAGCGGGCATGTTTGTGAAACACTGTAAGGTGGAAGTATACCTCACTGAACTCATGCTATGTGAAGACAGCAACATGGACAACATTGTCCCTAGGAGGTTCAGCAAAGCAAACACCATAGGTACGTTCAGAGTTTTTTTTTTCCCTTTAGCTAAGGGTTATTGATAGTTTGTAGTTGAGCAGAAATGTCCTGTTTTGCAGGGTGGCAGGCTGTACTTGACGTAAACTACTGAAAAGACATTTGAATTCAAAGTTTATATAAATTGTACAAAATGGCTCGTTTGGATTTTGTGGGACATCACATGGCAAATGTATTTAAACATATGTATATGACTACCTCTAGAGCAAGGCATCAACGAGTAGTTATACATCATCACTCAACCGGCCATGCCCACTGGCATTCAGTCTCTGAACAGCTGACATTTGCCTACACTCGATGTGAGCGTAGTTGCCTCAAAAGCAAGTAGAACCCATTATAGTCAATGACGGTGTCTTAACTAGTTACAGTTTACAGATGCCCATTCAGTTTCTGATTATACTCCATGCGTGACAAGACAACAGGATAAACAAAAGCTTAAAAGGATGTCATGACTAGGCCTGGGCGATAAAACGGTATCGATATTTATTGACGGTACACCTTCTTCGATAAAGATCTAAAAAATTTTCGATATAGTGCACGATATAGGCACGTGCTATGAGTGACGCAGACAGCACACACAAACAGGAACATGAGTGCTGTGCCTGCCTGTGATGTTGTGAATAAAAAAAAATATTATTAGTCGAATTTAAAATAAACATTTGCATTTGAAGGCAAAAATAGTACAATGAATGTTAGGTGTGCGTCAGGGAGCGTCATCAGTGGAGTAACGAGATGCGGTGATGATGTAAGTGACGTTGTAGTTTAATGTTTTGTTAGTCTAGCCCACGAGACGCGCCGCTGCTGCGTTATTCATTCAAAATATTAGAGAAATATAGAAGCTCAATGCGTAGAAGATCTTGATTAGGTTAAAACCGAAACCAAGCCATTCACACAGAACGCAT